TAGTTAAAAAGGAGAGGATAGAGTTTCTGGCATTACAGGAAACTAAAATGGAAAGGGTGGATACAAGAGTATGTAGAGCTTTATGGGGCACAAATGAGTGCGAATGGGTAGCAAAACCTTCTAATGGCAGATCAGGAGGCCTATTATGCATTTGGGACCCAAATTGTTTCATCAGAGACAAAGTTTTTGAAGGACAAAATTTTTTAGGGGTGTTCGGATTTTGGGGATAGAATAAAGTGCCTGTGTACATTGTTAATGTGTACTCACCTTGTGATATAGAAGGCAAAAGACTATTGTGGGAGGAGATTAAAAATGCAGTGACAACAAGCAGGGGAAATTGGTGTGTGCTAGGGGATTTTAATGCAGTAAAGTCACAACATGAAAGGGTGGGGAGTAGTGGAAATATAAGAGAAATGAGGGAGTTCAAGCAGTTTATACATGACTCCGGTTTAGTAGATCTACCCCTGGTTGGAAGAAAATTCACATGCTATAACTCAAATGGTACTGCTATAAGCAGGCTGGATAGAATTTTGTTGTCTGAAGAATGGTTGTTAAACTGGGAGGATGTGACACAGTGGGGATTAAAGAGAACAATATCAGATCATTGTGCAGTGATATTGAAAAATGAGAAGGTTGATTGGGGCCCTAAACCTTTTAGACTGTTTGATGTGTGGATGGAGAAACCGGGATTCAGGGAATTGGTGGAGGAAACTTGGCAATTGACTAAGGTACAGGGATGGAAAGGCTTCTGTTTAAAAGAAAAATTGAAAAAGTTGAAGAATGCCTTGAAAAGCTGGAGTCACAACTATATGGAGGAGGTTGATAAGAAGATAGCCAATGCAGAACAGATCATAGTAGATTTAGATAAGAAAGGAGAGGGACAACAACTTTCAAAAGAAGAGATAGAAGAAAGGAGGGAGGGATTTGCAGAACTATGGAAAAACACAAGAATAAAAAACAGAATGTGGCAACAGAAAGCAAGGAGGACATGGCTATGGGAGGGAGATGCAAACACAGCATTCTATCACAAATGCTTTCAAAACAGAAAGAGAAGGAATGAAATAAATAGCATCCTGGTCAATGGCAGGCAGTGTGAGGAGGTAGCAGTGGTTAAAGAGGAGATTGCAAAGCATTTTCAAAACTTATTCACGGAAGAAATGTGGAGCAGACCGAAGTTGGAAAATATGAGTTTTGAGCAAATCTCTGAGGCACAAAATTGTTTCCTTATAGCTCCATTCACTGAGGAGGAGATTAGAGCAGCAGTGTGGGATTGTGACAGCTCAAAGGCACCAGGGCCTGATGGTCTCAACTTCAGGTTTGTAAAATTATTCTGGGGGACGATAAAAAAGGAGATAATGGAATTTATTCAAGAGTTCCATGATACGGGCAGGTTGGTGAAGGGTGCAAATGAATCTTTTGTAGTTCTAATCCCAAAAGTCAATGATCCTGAAAAAATAGAAGAATACAGGCTTATCTCATTAATCAGGGTGATGTATAAAATCTTGTCAAAACTCCTATCAAACAGATTGAGAAAGGTGTTAGATGGAGTAATTGGAGACACCCAAATGGCTTTTATTGTAGGAAGATAGTTACCAGAAAGTGTTGTGATTGCAAATGAAGTGCTGGATGAGGTAAAGAACAAGAAACGAAAAAGCTTCTTTTTTAAGGCAGACTTTGAAAAGGCATATGACAATGTCTGTTGGAACTTCCTAGACTCAATGATGAACAAAATGGGGTTTAGTGAAAAATGGAGGAAATGGATCCAGGAATGCTTGAAAACTGCATCAATATCTGTGCTAATAAATGGTAGCCCCTCACAACAAATCAAGATGTCAAAAGGCCTGAGACAAGGGGACCCATTATCCCCTTTTCTATTTTTGTTGGTAGCAGAAGGTCTGAATGGGTTGATAATGAAGGCTGTAAGC